TTTTATTTGCTTATATAACTCATTAGCATTCTCGTATGCTTTTTCTTCTTTCTAAAGATTGAAAATTTAGAATTTATAGATAGAATTCAAACAAATATACGTCATCACTCACAGCAACTCTCCTGGAATATTTTTCCCAAAATTTTTGTAGTGTATCGAATTCTTTTTGTAAATGCTTACTCTACTTATAAAAGAGAGAATTTTTTAAAAAGAAAATTGACATTAACTTTAATTAAAAATAAATCCAATATTATTTATCATCTTACCGATTTGGTTTGAGCTTCAGAGTAATTTTCATAAAATTGGGACATAGCTTGAAGACACATTACTGCGGTCAAAGAAATAAGGTTATCACGTGCACAATAGTAACATGTGATCTAAACCTTTTTCTTACCATGAGAACTATCCATCCCTTTACTATTTCCGTATTCTTTAAGAGACTTGCTAAGAGCTTTTGAGGTTTTTGCAAGTTTATCAACCAAATCACAAAAGTTTCCGGCAATCGAAACCAAATGTCCAAAATTTTCGACTGCTTTTTGAACATCATTCGGATTCGGTATTTTATCATCTCGAATTGGCTGCGCCGGAAAATAATTATTGAGTGGCGATCCGAGAATTGGTGTTTGAACTGGAGAATTTGGATGAGAACTGAATAGTGAAAACCTTTTTTTCTTATACGATGTAATCATCATTGCAATTGTTAAATTGTAGTTCTGTATGATTAAATACACGAAATTTTATTTTATTCACAATGTATCTATGCATGCAATTAAATAAAAAAAAAATTGATGTGCTTTTGAGCATCAAAAACAAAAAAGTTTGTTGAAAAAAGAAATATCGATATGACGATAAAATCGTTGGAATTAAAAAAGAAAAAAAAAAGGGTTTAATCCCCTCGAAATTACGGGGTTAAATTTACTCAAAATCCAAACATAGAATAATTAAAATCAGGGAAATTTGGAAGATCGATGTTCTAAAGATCGTTCCGTACGACATCATATGTCATAAGTCTCATGACTAATTCTTCAATATTATTTACTCAAATGGAATATATGATAGATAAAAAAATGTTCCCGAGATATCGACTTTAAAATTATGTTTAGCATGTCCTTTTCTTATTATACAACTTTTTACATATTGAAAGTATGCGCACAATAAAAATATACCAAATTACGGTAATATATAAGTTACGTATTTCATACGCATTGATACGTATTTCTACGTATAATTA